CTAATGTCGAGTGCTCAAATCTTCACGAAACTTTCACCTTTCTATGTACGTAGAATTAATAAATTTACATCAAACAAATCGATAAATTTGGGAAATAAATTACTTTTTTCTTTGTTAACCTTTTTTATTTTACCTTTATTTACCTTTGACACAAGCAGATTACTCGGAAATGTAAATTCACCACGATGCGATACAGCAACAAGGGCTAGGGGTGTTTTTGTACGAAAATCAACTTTTCAGTGGCAGTGCTCAGAGCATTCCGATAAGCAACTATATTTTGTAACAAATTTATCATCAAACAGTGGCTTTAAAATTTATTTCATATTTATTAATTAAATTTAATCCATATATTTGTGTTTTTAGTGAAATTGATGCACTAAACGAAAATTTATTCTAAACAATTATAATAAATCACACAAAGGGGACCTTGTCTGAACTCTGACGGTAATGGTGGTATTTTGCAACGTCATTTTACACAGCCGTATTCGTTTCGTGAGGATACCAAATTCAGACATCACGGCATAAAGACAACTTCTCTTCTTGCTGTCAAGAGCAGCTTTGAAGTCTACAAATAGGTGGTGAGTGTCGATCCTTTTTTCGCGGGTCTTTTCTAAGATTTGGTTCGTTGACGGCGGGCTTCAGTCTTTCACACAATACACTCGATAAGACCTCGTTTCGTGAGGATACCAAATTCAGACATCACGGCATGAAGACAACTTCTCTTCTTGCTGTCAAGAGCAGCTTTGAAGTCTACAAATAGGTGGTGAGTGTCGATCCTTTTTTCGCGGGTCTTTTCTAAGATTTGGTTCGTTGACGGCGGGCTTCAGTCTTTCACACAATACACTCGATAAGACCTCGTTTCGTGAGGATACCAAATTCAGACATCACGGCATGAAGACAACTTCTCTTCTTGCTGTCAAGAGCAGCTTTGAAGTCTACAAATAGGTGGTGAGTGTCGATCCTTTTTTCGCGGGTCTTTTCTAAGATTTGGTTCGTTGACGGCGGGCTTCAGTCTTTCAAACAATACACTCGATAAGACCTTGTAACTTATGCTTAGAAGGCTCATTCCGCGGTAGTTGGCGCGTATGGCGGGATCGCCTTTCTTGTGGATTGGGCAGAGCACATCTTAATTCCAGTGGTCGGGCATGCGGTCATCTGACCATATTCTGCATAAGAGTTGATGCATGCACCTTATCAGCTCTTCGCCATTGTACTTGAATAGCTCAGCTGGTAGGCTGTCAGCTCTAGCCACTTTTTTGTTTTTCAGCCGCGTAATCGCTATTCGTACCTCGTCATAGTCAGGCGGTGGGACATCGACTCCATCGTCTTCGACTGTGGTCTCGGGTTCGCCTTCTCCACTACTTTCAGCGCTACTACCAGTAGGGTGGAAAAGTGTTCCGTCCATAATGTAAGTACGTTGTGGACATCGGTCGCTAGGTCGCCATTGTTCTTACAAGAGTTCGCCCTGGGCTTGAAACCTTCTGTAAGTCGCCTAACCCTCTGATAAAGTTTTCGGGCGTTTTCCCTGTCGGCCAGCATCTCAAGCTCTTCGCATTCACGTATTTCGGCCTCTCTTCTTATTGCGGCTAATACGCCACGCTTCCTTCTTCAGTTGCCTACATCGGTCTCCCATGGCTCGCGTTGCACCCGATAGCAGCGTTGTCTTGTAGGCGGCATCTTTTTTCTCTGCAGATTCTTGACACTCCTCGTCGTACCAGTTGTTCTTACAAGCTCGCTGAAATCCGACTACTTCTTCGGCGGCGGTACTTAATGAACGGGCAATGTGGTTCCACTGCTCGCGTATGTCGGATTGTTGAAGAGTGCTCTCAGAGAGACGGTGTGAGAGTCGAGTGGCGAATAAATTGGCCGTCTGTTGCGATTACAGCTTTTCGACCTTAAGCTTTCCTTATACTGTTGGGCGCACATTTTTTGCTGCGCAGAGGCGAGTGCGTATCTTGACTGCAACAAGTCGATGTTTGGCCCTCGGACTGTACATACGTATAAAATACTGAAAGCGTGCCTTCCGTCTATCATAACGCTATCGATTTTGTTTCTCGTTTTTCGATCTGGAGACAGCCATGTAACTGGATCTCTTTATGCTGGAAGCTAGTTTCGGGCCCTGGCGAAGTCGATCAGCCTCAGCCCTTTATCGGACGTTTCGTCGTGGAGGCTGAATTTTCCGACAGTGGCGCCAAAGATCCCTTCGTTGCCCATCTTGGCATTGAAATCGCCAAGCACAATTATTATACGCGCGGCGGGCAATATATACGATCTAAGTGCTCATTGAAGAGATCCTTGGATGCCTCGTCCTTCTCTTCCGTTGGGGCATGGGCGCAGATGTGCGAGATGTTGAATAATCTCACTTTGAAGCGGATTGTGGCTAGACGTTCGTCCACTGGTGTGAACGCCAGTACTCGGCGACGGAGTCCCTCTCCTACCGCGAATGCAACACCGAAGTTGCCCTCCGTGCCCCGTCCATCGCATTTCTTGGATGGCGGTGATGTCAGCCTTTGTCTTCCCTAGGACATCAACCAGCCGGGCAGAGGCACCTGCCCGTACGCCCAAGAAACACTTCTGGCCACTCCCAGGTGAAGTCTGCTCAGAAAACAATTTTCTCGCTCCCTCTTGACAAAATCGGCTCCTTTAGCAAGGTACCGTGCAGCGTCCGGACTTTGCTCCGATCGGGGCAGATTTACTCAGATTTATTTTTTTTTAATTTAAAATCTACTCCCTACTCCGCTTGTCCCATATGTATATATATATATAGCATTTTCAGTTTAAATGAAACTTTTTTCAAATTAAATGAAACCTTTTTCAGATTAAGCGAAACCTTTTTCAAATTAATTGAAACCTTTTTCAGATGAAGCGAAACCTTTTTCAAATTAAATGAAACCTTTTTCGGATTCAATGAAACTTTATTCAAATTAAAAGAGACTTTTTTCAGATTCATTGAAACTTTATTCAAACCAAATTAAACTTTTTTCAAATTAAATGAAACTTCATTCAAATTAAGTATTANATTCAAATTAAGTATTAAACATTTTTAAATTAAGGAACAGGAAATCAACTTAACCTATTAAGAGCCGTTTGCACCATGTCTGGCTAACACTAAAGGCTCTGTTATGCATACTTGGCATTGCTTGAGAGTTGTCACATAAGGAATCTGTTATATAAATGAGCTTCGCGTGTAAGCTGTTAACCAACGCACAGCATTACATACGTAGAAGTCTGTTGTTTACTCTTCTGTAATTTGGGCCACCAAAAAGCTGCGTGAATTGCGATTTTGTCTTTAAAATATCAAAACTGGTTTCTCAACCGCTATGCATATGAAGAAAATGTATATATGTATGTATGTTGCCACTCAAAATTTTTTTCCTACCACAATTGGTACAAAATAGCTCTCAGCCTACTAAAATGTGACTTTCATTGAAAATGTGATTTAAATGTTGTAACATATGTAAGTAGGTTCAACACTTTATTATAACAAAATCAAATAAAATTTACTTGTCCATAATTTGTCTTCATGCGCAACTCTTTTTGGGTAAAATGAAAAAAAAGCGCGAACTCAAAGTCAAGCGTTGATAATTACATATTTTTCCTGTTGCTACACGAATTCGAAGCTGTCAAGTATTATTTTCTTAAGGAAGAAGAGGGAAATAAAGTACAAATACTCTCCCTTCTCACTCACTCGCTTTAGCGAAATGTAAAATTTGGCATTTGCATAACAATTGTCTAATTATTTTCTTCTAACTTAAACAAACTCTATGGATTAGAGCACAGTCTAATCACGGCAACATTCAACTTCGGTTCAAGAATAATTTTGACATGTCCCATTTCTCTTTTCCTTTTCACATCATCCTTTACATGTACTCCCGAAAACAGAGATATTTGAAGTTTTATAAAATGAATAAATTATATGATTTGCCTAGTTACCAAAACCCCTCGAAAATCACAACAAACCAACCAACCTACCAAAGCCTTATTTTAAGAAATGAAACTACCAATTTTGGTCCAATTGGGCCGAAACGGCAACACTGTATTCAACATGCCTTGACGGGAGAGCAACACGTAACAGTTTCATTTCATTTGAATAAAGTTTCATTTAATTTGAAAAAAGTTGAATTTAATTTGAATAAAGTTTCATTGAATCTGAAAAAGGTCTCATTTAATTTGAATAAAGTTTCACTGAATCTGAAAAAGGTTTCATTTAATTTGAAAAAGGTTTCGGTTAAAATTAAAAAAGTTTCATTTTATTTGAAAAAGGTTTCGCTTAATTTGAAAATGGTTTCATTTAAACTGAAAATGCTATATATATATGCTCCGTTTCTTTTTTTATCTTTTTTCCATTCACATTAAGAATATATTACAAAATAATATCGTAACTTCTTAAATTTTTGATCAATAACTTCTGTGGCAACCACCAAGGTTTTGTATAGCAAGGTGTAACAGAAGTCTTTAACATTCCTTGCGGAATCACTTTTTATTTATCAAAGCAGGAACCAGAAAAATGTGTTGCATGTTTAGAGAGTATATGCTGACGTTAGCTATTCAACCGCACAGTAGTGCTGCTGCCGAAAAAAAATTTTCAGAGATATCTCATTAAAAATAAATACAGGAACAGGCTTAATAGTCTAAGATCATTCACCCATCTGTTTAAAAAAATCTTTTTTCTGTGAAATTTAACGTGTTAATAAATATTTTGCGAGTGGGTTGCCTGAAAAAATCCTGGCCAGGATGTTTTTAATTATATATTCAAAAATTATTATTATTTTTTAATTTTGTACTCATTTGCTTAATGAAAAAATTATATACCAATCGAAAGTATTAAGCTTATAGAATGTAAACACGTTGGGTTGTATAGTTTTTTCCTGGCCTACCTATTGCGTTGGTAGGTATGAACAGGTAGGTAGGTAATATTAGTAATTTTCACTCATCTGTTTAACAGATTCTATAGACTTTATGTTTTCGATTGGTATAAACAAATGCTGCCTTTGTTTACCATTTCAAACAAATTGACCACGAATAAATATTAAAGCTTTTTATTTGTTACTTTAATGAAATATAAATTTCTAAACAGACAAAGGATTTGAATGTTCAACAACGATTGAAATAACATCGAATCACTTTTTACACCTCCAAAACTCTCAGCCGTCCAATTGCGGCCTATCGTCCAGCGTCACTTGATATTCTCCACTCTCCCTATTTAAATTAGCTTTCTGGTATTCCAAAAGAACCAATGTATTTCCTCCGATTCGCAGTAAATCCTTAGGCAGATATAGCGTCAACTGAGGGCCGACTAATGGCCAATAGCGTCCCAAATTAAAACCGTTGATATAAGCCACGCCTTTGCCCCAACCAAGGGGGTTTAAATAAGTGTCGCCCAGTTTTTCCACTTCGAATTCGCCGTAATATACCACGGGTCCATTACGTAGAACATTGCTCTTTGACGCTAATTCGGTTATCATTTGGTGCTTGTATGCATTTACTAATGTTGTAATTTGTTCACTCTCCAATGGGAAAGATGTTGTCACCCAATCTTTGAGCTCCTGCTTTTCGCCATTCAAATGCTCCACTGTTATCGCGCCCAAAATACCTTTTGTATCATTTAGCGTCTCATAATTGATGCGTCCTTGATTCTCTACCAATAACTGCAAGCGACTGCCTAAACC